GCTAAATTATTTGGAATAGCCAGTTTTTGCCCTAGAGTTCGCTGTAGAAGTTCATAGGCAGAAGCTGCAGGTAACTGCTTATTAGGGATAGGCTTTACTAGGATAGAATGTGAGATGAGCCCAAGACACATGGAAGAATTTGGATGAAATGGGGCCATGCAGGTTGAGAGAGTTCTTGAATAAAGGCAAGGAGGTGGAAGTTAGCAAGGTTGTAAGGAACTAGGGGCTTAATCACTTGTATATTTGGAGCAGTAGTTGAAAATACTTTGGGATAATTAAGAGGGAGCCAGATCAAATACTGTGTAAAAGGTGTAAGAATTTTAATTTTGTTTGAAGTTGTATAAAAGAAACATGTGGTCAGTTCTTAAAAAGCACAGTAACATGGTGTGTCATCTAACTTTTTCTTGCAATACTTTTTTTTTCCCAAGGTCAATCCTGAGTAATCTACACTTCGGTGACCTGTTTTCATTCTTCATTGTTTTACTTTCTAATACTGTGATAAAACATTGACTAAAACCAACCTGGGAGGAAAGGGTTTATTTCATCTTACATTTTCCAAGGCACGGGCCATCTTTGAGGGAATCCAGGCAGAAACACAGAGAAGGAACATTTAGGCAGAAACTGAAGCACAAACTATGGAGGAACACTGCTTATTGGCTTGCTCCTCTGGCCTGTGCTTAGCCTGCTTTCTTATGCAACCCAGGACCACCTGCCCAGGGGTGCCATCACCCACAGTGGGCTCAGCCCTCCCACATCACTCAACAATGAACAGACATGCTCATAGGCCAATCCAGTAGAAGTAATTTTGCAGTTGAGGTTTCCACTTCTCAGGTGTGTCAAGTTGACAACTAAAGCTATCCAGTACACCTATTTTCCTTAAGGACTGAAACATCTGCCTATATTCACTCTGTTGCCTGTTTCCTCTCCTCTCTGTCTTCATCCTTCCAGCTCTATCATTTTCCTTGATTCATCTACTGTCTCTCAAACGTATTTTCTGTCTCCTGTCTTCTCTGCTCTGCCAGTGCAGGGAATTTACAAAGCTGTCTTTTTATTGTGGGTAATTGTTCCTTATGTTTGAGAGGATTTGTGTATTCTGCAAGTAGGAAGGTGTTAGGAACCAAACAAGCAACTCTAGGGCCCAACTGCTCTTCTCTCATGCACCCTGTGGTATGTCCTTTTTCTGGACTTTGCTCCTCCCTGTATATCTTCTTCACTCTTTTTGCTTGTTTCTTTGCTCACTTAGGATTTGTGTTTATCCCACAACTAGCTTACAAATGACTTCAGTTTATTTCCCTGGTTCTTCCTGGCGTCTTTTCAGCTTCCACTAATGGGCATTTCTTTCCTTGTTTCTTCACTTGGATTCCTACAAAAAGGACCTGACCTGGCACAATTTATCACTTGTATGCAGTGACATGGATAACTAGGAGTGGTTTTTATAGATCTTGAGTGTGTCTGCCGAGGGTTCATGAGCTGGAAGCTTGTTCCTAATATGATGATACTGAGAAATGGTAGAACCTTTAAGAAGTGGTACCTAAGCTGAATATAGTGGTACATGCCTGTAATTATAGCACTGGGGAGGCTTAAATAGGAATATTGAGAGTTTGAAGCCAATCTGGGATACATATAGCAAGACTCTGTGTTGGGGGGGCGGGTAAAGGGAGGTAATTAGGTCATTGGTGAAGCATCAACTTTGGAAGAAACTCATGTAATTGTCTTGGGACCCTGGTTAGTTCCCTTGGAGACTGGTTGTTTTAAAACAAGATCACCCTGTGTGCTTGATCCCTTCTGTACATAGCCATTTCCTTTTCTGCTTCTTTGCTATGTTATGTTTATATTATGTTTTGGTTTGTTGTAACAAAGCCAGATTGACCTTCACCAGGACACCAGTGCCATATAGTCGTTTAGACCCTCCATACATCAGAATTGCAAACCAAAAAAGCCTTTTTCCTTAAAGTATCCACCCTCAGGTAGCTTGTAGGAAAAAAAGTACATACTGGTCAACTATTTTGTTATTGATTGTTGGTGAGCCAGACACACCTACTCTGAATCTAATCAACTTGTGCCTTGGGTTTAGAGTCATGACCATCTATGACTCCCTCTTTGGCAGGGACATAAGCAGAACTCCTTTCAGAGGGGACTGTGAGAGAGCAAGCAAAGCAAAATGTGTCTAGGCTAGTGCTTCACTACTGAGCTACCTCCCTAGCCCTGATTTCATGTATTTTATTAATGGTTCTTTGAACTTTATCTTAAAGCTGTCCAGACTAAATCAAAGAAGACCTTAGCAAAACCCAATGTAAAGAATATCGTGGTTGTGGAAGGTGTCCGCATTCCATTTTTGCTGTCAGGCACTTTGTAAGTATGAAATGGTCATGTTAGTTGTTCCTCTTTTAAGGTACTGTCTAAAGTGGTCTTGTAGGTAATGGCAGTAGTAGACAAATATATGGCGAGCACCTCTATAAAATTAGTGTAGAGTAAATCAAGCCAGTGGAGATGTGATATGACAAGATATCTTATTCTTTCTTGTAAATAAGCCTGGTATGGTATTAGTTTGAAATAGCCCTACTTGAAATCCCTGTAGGTCCAGAGAACTCATTTTCAATAGAACTGTCCTTTTCTTTTCTGGGAACGTTGTTCCTGTAGGCACAATTTGAGTGCTGAGGATGGACCCTTGAATATTCCGAAGAGTCCAGAATCCATTGCTTGGGCCTCCTGAAAATGATTAGACTTGGAGTTGAAAGAGCTAGTCCAAACCCTGGTTTATAGATCAATCCCAAGTATGTGGACCAGAATGATCTTAGACCACCCTGAAAGTTTCTCAGAACCAAACAGCTATTTCCTTAGGCTTTTCTCCCAATATGAGATTCAGTCTTCAAAAGCTGGTAATAGACTTAGCTAAGTAGGTTCAAGCAATTAATTTTATTCTGTTTAGATTGTGTTAATATGTTAATATCTGTATTTTGGACAAGCAGTCACTAACTTAAAAACTTACTGAGGAGTGTTGGAATGTCAGACTCCTATTAGAAATAATGAGGCCTATCTTTATGTATTCATATAGAATATTTGAAGCTATATTAACTATAAAAGAGCAAGGGCATAGAGGACTGGTGAGATGGTCCAGCAGGTAAAGGTGCTTGCTGTCAAACTGGATGACCCAAGTTCAGTCCTTGGAAAAACAACTAAAATATCAGCCTTTTATTCTTTCAAGCATTACAAAATAATGTACTTTTAAAATTTAGCCAAAAGCCCTCAAAATAAGGTTAATTATAAAAAATATTTAACACTGCTATACCAAATAATAAAGTAATAGTGTATCATATTTTATTTATATTATTTCACTTTTATCTTTTGACATTTAATAAATATTTATTTTTATTTTGTGTGTATGAGTGTTTTGCCTGCATGTATGCATGCCACGTGCAGGCCTAGTACTCCTGGAGGCCAGAAGAAGGTATCAGATCCCCTGGAACTAGAGTTAAGCACAGGTGTTAGCTGTCTTGTGGGTGCTGGGAACTAAACCCAGGTGCTCTGGAAGAGCAGTAAGTACTCTTAACCACTGAACCATCTCCCCCGCCCCAATTTTTTGAGATAGGATCTCATGCTATAACCTGAGCTAGCCTGGAGCTCACTACAGCCTCATCCTCCCAGCTGTCAGGATTATAGGTCTGATCCAACATTCCCAACTGAGAATAATTTTTGTCAGATACTCAGCAAGTTCTTCAGGAGTTTAGGGCTTGGCCAGATTTTTTTAAAGATGACAAATTGCCAAGTCACACTATTTCTTCATTTGAACTGATAGACTGGCTTGGATAGTAAAGTGCATTTTCAGTAGCATATATATGTTAGATAATCTGTATGCATTTCTAAAAGAATGAAAAAGAAAATTACTGAAACTCTAGGCTTTTGGTTTAAATTATCTGCTTTCTTTTTCCCAGGTATAAAGACCTGATGCCACATGATTTGGCTAGAGCTGCACTGTCGTAAGTAAACGAAGTTTCCTCTTCTCATTTCATTGAAGATACTTTTTCTTGTTTTCTAGTACTTGAAGCAGTGTGTTCTGTTGAATTTTTATATCTAGGGTATATTAAGTTTTATATGGTACTAAGAAATACCAATTAGCTTTTACAAGATTAATTTTTAAATTTTAACCATGTGTGTTACACAAATTTAGCAGCTTTGAATATCAGACATCCTTATTTTGCAAGTTTATCATATAGGATCTTGGCATCTCTCTCTCTCTCTATCTATCTCTCTCTTTCTGTGTGTGTTTATGATTGATAGTATCTCAGGTTGCCTGGAACGCACTAAATAGACCAGGCTGGCCTCAAACTCACAGTTATCCTTCTGCCTCAGCTTCTTTGATGAGTGCCCTCTGTTGCCCTAGTATGTGATTGATTAGCCAAAGCACAGTATATAAAGATTGTCTTAGGTAAGAACTTAATTGCTATATAAGAGTAGCTGAACAAATTATATATTTTTCTAGAAAGAAGCTTATTAAGGAACCTGAAGCTTCATGTGCAAAACAAGTTAAAAATTTTAAATTAGTTGTAATGAAATGAGATTGAGATGGATAAATTGGTGTGGGTATAAAATGTACAGCTGTGTCTAGGGTAGAAGCAGCATGCACTGCATCTCAGTTGGTTTCCAGTGATGCTGTAGTATCTTGAGCTGACAGGTCTTCCCTAGTGGAGAAGGCTTTTGAGTTGACCTTTCTGCTCATTCTCCTGCATCCTGTTCCTTCTCTTCCTGCCAGACATGAAGAACAAGAGAGTAGCATGGCTCTCTTTACTTCTGCCCCATTCACTCTCCCTACTTCATAATAATCATTTCCTTTCCCATTCTCTAGGTAGCCATACTTTGGGAGTTTCTCTTTAGTGTCTTTCTGATCACTAAATATGTACATTCTTTTCTCAGACCTCCCTCTCTGTAGCATTTGACACCGCAAGCTGTACCTGATCTGTCTTCCTTTGACTTTTTAAAAAATATTTTATTTATTATTTTTATTTTATGTGTATACATGTATTGCCTGCATGTGGTAAGTACACCCATGTTGTGCAGTGCCCGCGGAGGACAGAAGAGGATGTCGGATCCCCTGGAACTGGAGTTATAGACAGTTGTTAGCAGCCATGTGGGTGCTGAGATTCGAACCCAGGTCCTCTGCAAGAAGCAGCCAGTGCTCTTAACTGATGAGCCATCCCCCATCTGAGAACTCTGTTCAGATCTGTAGTCCATGGTTTTTTTTGGTCTTTTTGAGACAGGGTCTCCCTGCAGCCCCAGCTGTCCTGGAGCTCACTATGTAGACCAGACTGGCCTTGAACTCACAGAGATCCACCTGCCTCTGCCTCCCAAGTGCTGGGATTAAAGGCGTGTGCTACCACGCCCGGCTTATTTTATACTTTTATGATTCTTTTCCATCTCCTGCTTCATCGTTCCCCTCTTTTCTTCTTTTTCTTTGTTTCTTTTCAGTGCTAGGCTTAACCCCAAGGCCTCATGTAACTAGGCAAATGCTCTGTCTGTGAGCTACATCTTTGACTCTATTTTCCCATTTTTCATAGTCTACTATTACAGATCTAAGGGTGAAAGTTTGCAAGATTTTGGGGCTTTTTAAAAAAACTTTATTTATTTAATGTGTATGAGTGTTACACCTGCATATAAGTGCACCCATGTTGTGCACTGCCCACAAAGGCCAAAAGGTCATTAGATCCCCTGGAACTGGAGGTAGGAGCTGGGATTTGAACCCTGGTCTTCTACAAGAGCAGCTAGTGTTCTTAACCCATCTCTTCTCCAGCTCCTGTTTTGTTTTGTTTTGTTTTTTTCTATATTTTACCATCCCTGGTTTGCAAGTTTTTCTGTAACTTTTTAACTTGAAAAATGTCAAACATATAGTGAAATTAAATAGCTCAGTGAACATCTGTCTATCCACCATCTAGATTCAGTAATGATTATCATTTTGACATATTTGCTAAGTTCATATAGTATGGGACATTTTGACAGTAAGCTCCACACAACATACTTATACCCAAATACTTGAGCATCACTCTCCTAAGCACAGTGTCGTTACCATAGCTAAGCTAATAATGTTTCCATAACTTCTTACATCTAGCTCATATTCAAGTCTTCTTCAGTTCCATGAATGTCTTTTCTAAAAAGCATTTTTTTCACATGAAAACCTATCCAAAGATCATATTAGGGCTCTAGCACACTCTTTCTCTTTAATCTTTGGTTTTCCCTCCTGAGCCTTTGGAGTGCTGGGTTTAAAAGTGTGTGCAGTCACACCCAGATTTCTCCTTTAATCCTTTAATTTAGAACATTTTCTTCCTTCCCCGACTTCTGCATGACATTGACTTTAAAAAAAAAAAATTATTTATTATTTTTATTTTACGTGTATGCGTGTATTGCCTGCATGTAGGTGAGCGCACCCATGTCATGCAATGCCCATGGAGGACAGAAGAGGCTGTCAGATCCCCTGGAACTGGAGTTACAGACAGTTGTTAGCTGCCATGTGGGTGCTGGGATTCGAACTTGGGTCTTCTGCAAGAACAGTCAGTGTTCTTAACCGCTGAGCATTGACTTTTTGAAAAATCTAGGACAGCTGTCTCTCTTACAGATTGTCAAACACTGATGTTTCCTCATGGTGATATTTACCTTTCTTGAATTTCCTAAAAACTGGAAATTAGGTCTAGACTCCTGATATACAGAAGTTAAACATTCCTTTTCTAGTAGGAACACTTCATGCGGAAAGCAGTGCATTACATTAAGGGGCATGTGATACATGTTGATAGGTCTAACAGTTTGGTATGGCTGACAGATTTATTTATTTGGTTTTTTTTTTTGAGATAGTGACTCACTATCTATAGGACTCACTGGCTGTCCTAGAAGTTGATATATAGACTACCCAAGTCTCAAAACTCAGAGAGATCTACCTGCCTCTGCCTTCTGAGAGCTGAGATTAAAGATGTGAATCACAGTGCCTGACTTACTTATTTTTCAGAGTCTCATTATGTAGCTTAGGCTGGCCTGGAAAATTAGATCTTTCTACCTCAGCTTGCTGAGTGCTGGGCCTGTGCTACCAGTCTCTGCTCAGATCTTTTGATTTCTTAGTACCTCTTGTCTCAGTATCCTGAGTGCTGGGATCATAGGCATGTGCTGTCACACCCAGCACAAGCAAATATCATTTGGATACCAAATCTGCATTTATGATATTTATGTTCTGCATTTATTCATAGTGGAAAGTTACTGCTTCTAGTGTACATTTATAGTCAGAACTAAAATATGTTTCAATTATGTGTTTATATCAGTATTTAAAATTTAACATTTCCACGATTTTGCTTGATCTCTTGTTTTTATCTCCTCTTTTTTACTGAAAACTTTGATTTCTAGTAACTTTAGCTAACATGATTGTTATTCTAAATTTTTGAGCTGTATTTTTAATTTAGGTGTAGCGCTATGTGTGTGTGTGTGTGTGTGTGTGTGTGTGTGTGTGTGTGTGTGTGTTTGCATGGTATGTCACAGCACACATGGCAGAAATCAGAGGACGGTGTTTCAGGAGTCAGTTCTTTCCTCCTACCTTTATTGAGCTCAGGTCATCAGTCTTGTGTAGCAAGTTCTTTTATACCCACTAAGCTATCTTGCCAGCCCCAAGATATTTTTTTACTGGTCCTTTCTAACTTCTTATTACAAAGTGATCATCAAATGTTGACTTTTCACATCACTCTTCACTCATTTCCTCTTTTTATTATTTTTAAAATTTTTTGGGTATGAGTGTTTTGCCTACATGTATATAAGTGTACCATTTGTGTGTGAAATGTCTGTGAAGAGCCAAAAGAGGGTATCAGATCCCCTGGAATTGTAGTTAAGGATGGTGTTAGCTGCCATGTGGGTGCTGGGAACTGAACCCAGGCAATCTCCAAGAGCAGCCAGTGCTCTTAACCCCTGAGCCATCTCTACAGTCCCTGCTCATTTCCTCTTTGATTAACTCCCCAATGTTTGTTTCACTCCTTTGACACCCAAGGCTTAGCTTTTATTTTATTTTTGTGGTGACTGGGACTGAATGTAGGACCTTATGTGTACTAGGTGAGCATTCTACCCCAGACCTGTGCCTCTAACCTAAGGTTTACTTGTTTAAAGAAGTGCAGTGTTTCATGTAATGATTGCTGACATCACCTTAATGTGTGGACTATTTCTTTGTTTTGGATTTCTGCTGCTAGGGGTTTGTTGCATCGGACCAATGTTCCAAAGGATGTTGTTGATTATATCATCTTTGGTACAGTTATTCAAGAAGTAAAAACAAGCAATGTGGCTAGAGAGGTAAGTAAAGCAAACTTTATATTGTTCAAAGAGATTGATAGAAGCTGGGAGTGGTGGCTGATATCCGTAATCACAGTACTTAGGAGGCAGAGGCACACAAGGATTGCCATGAGTTTAAGTCAGCCAGGGCTGTAGTGAGACCCTGTCTCAATAAACAACAATAAAAACATGATTTTGAGTTTCAACTAATAATATTTATTTTAGTATTTTTTTTGTGGTGCTAGAAATTGAACCCAAGGTAGGCAAGTGTTCTACCACTAAGATACATCCACAACCTAGAATTTACTACTTTAAAGTCACTAAAATCTCTTTTAAAATCCATGAACTAAATAAACTTTGGTCTTGAAATATGCTTTTGCATCTTAAATGTTACTTAATATTTAAAAGAATTACGCTATAAATCAAATGATGTATACTATTATAGTATTTTTCAAATTTTACCATAAATTGGGTCAGTTATTTGGTTTAGGAAATGTTAGTTACTCTGTCTCATGTTAGGGAAACAAAGAATATGGCAGTGTGTGGCTGATGTTGCTTTTAGTGGTATTAGACATCATGGCTTCTAATTAATCTAAAACTGACATCTCATAGTCAAGTTCATACTTGGTCTTTGTAGTTGGAGGCAGCCTTGCATGTGCATTTGCTTCTTTGACTGGGTGGCACGTAGGCAGTTGGTTTTTTTGTTGTTGTTGTTGTTACTATTTCAGAGGGTTTACGTTTACCCTAGTTGGCACACTCTATTCTTTATTGGGCAATGGAGATAATAACAGCCTTGGAACTGGTGTGACATGTCCCATAGGCATCTGACAGTGACTAGTTCAAACACAACTTTTGGGCTTTGTTTCAATTTGAGGGTGATTATTTGGATAATGTAGGCTCCCGAGTGTTCACTTATTTCTGGTCTGTGCTTCTATTATTGTTGTGAACCAAGGTAGAAGGGAAAATGAGCAGGCCAGAAGCATCTGTTCTGCTTCACTGTCTCACTTGTCAGTGAATGTTAAAATGCTCAAGTCCCAGTGCTGCACAAGCCCACAAAAATGAACTGTATGCTGTTGAGGGCCAGAAAATAGGAAAGTGGGGGTGGATCTGGGAGGAGTTGGGGGAGGAGTGGGAGTGAATATGATCAAAATACATTGTATGAAATTCCCCCCAAATTAATAAAATGGCTTTTCAAATAAATTTAAAAAATATTTTATTATTTTTATGTGTATGAGTGTATTGCCTGCATGTATGTGAGTGCACCCGTGTTGTGCAGTGCCGTGGAGGTCAGAAGACGGCTTTGGATTCCCCTGGAACTGGAGTTAAGGACAGTTTGTAGCCACCATGTGGGTGCTGGAAAACGAATCCAGGTCCTCTGCAAGAGTAGTCAGTGCTCTTAACTGCTGACCCATCTCTCCAGCCCTACACATAACCTTTAAAAAAAATTTTAGGGGCTGGGGATTTAGCTCAGTGGTAGAGCTCTTGCCTAACAAGTGCAAGGCCCTGAGTTCAGTCCTCAGCTCCAGAAAAAAAAAGGGGAAAAAAAATTATAGCATGTGTGGTGGTGCATGTCTATAGCATCTCTCCAGCCCCCTAAAGTAAATTTTTTTAAAAAGCTAGGACCGGGGACTGGAGAGATGGCTCAGTGGTTAGGCGAACACTGGTTGTTCTTGCAGAAGACCTGGGTTTGAATCCCAGCACCACATGGTAGCTAACAACCATCTGTAACTCCAGTCCCAGGGGATCCAACACCCTCTTCTGACCTCCTAGGGCATTGCACG